TTGACTTTGAGAGGTAAGTTCACTCTTGCTGGATTGATTTTGTTGGGTTTGATTTGTTTTTTGTGAGGGTGAGAAATTTGTCATTTGTGGCATCAATAATGCGTCATTTGCTCTGTTATCAATAATGCGTCATTTCCTTATGAATATTCAATATACTTAGTTGATTATTTTTTTTTGGAGGGGGGTTGGAAAATTATGAAATGTAGGTAAAAGATCCTAAACTTAGGCTTAATGGCATTAGGAGTAAGCATTTGGAGAGGATATTGGGTGAAGTTCTGTAATTGCTGGTTTGAATTACATTTGAGTTCTTAGTTGAACATGTTGGTTTTAATGTTATTTTTTCCAGATTATTTCACAAGAGATGACATAACTATTATTAAATTTTGCTTGTGTTTTGTGTAATCAGAATCCAACAAGCTAGCCTATGCGTATATTGTGTCAATTTGGGCAATGTTTTGTGTAAGTGGAATGCATTGATAAGTTGTGATGCAGTAATGATTGATTAATGAATTAACATTTGCTATGCAGTAATATAGAAGTAGATCAATAATATACGTGGATAAAATGTCTGGGGGCTCAGAGAGTGATGACTCTGTAACAGCTAATGGGAGGGTTTACATTCCTGAAGTAAGAAATGAGGAAACACCAGCAGTTGGGATGAAGTTCGACTCGCTTGACCTCGTTTATAATTTCTATAATAGATATGCATTCTTGGCTGGCTTTGGTATTCGACTTCATTCCAGCTTTTGGGGGAAAAATAAGAAAGAGATTCTGAGAAAAGAATTTGTATGTTGCAAACAAGGTGTATACCGGAATGATGAAACTCGGGAGAGAAAAAGACAGCGGGGAATAAGTAGATGCAATTGCAAAGCTAAGATTGTGGTTGTGAAGACACATGGGAGCAAGAAGTATACCATCTCTCTTTTTGCAGAGGGACACAATCATAAGATGACACCCTCAGGAAGAATGCATTTACTGAGATCACACCGTCGTATTTCAGATTCTACAAAAGTACTTACAAAACAGTTGGGTTCGGTTAATATTCCCATTAATCAGAAGGTAAGTATTTTCGAGGTGCAATCCGGAGGAATGGATAAAATCGGTTTTATCAAAAAGGATATGTACAATCTTGAATGTAGTGTGAATGGGAAGCTGAGGAACCACGATGTTGAACTAGTGACCGAGTATTTTATGGCTGAACAGAAAAAAAATGAGGCTTTTTATTTCAAGATTGAGGGAGATGGCGATAACAGGTTTAGTCGATGTTTTTGGGCAGATGCAACTTCTAGACGGGCGTACGGGTTTTATGGAGATGTTGTTGTATTCGATACCACATTCAACACGAATAGATACGACTTGACATTTGCACCAATGTTGGGAGTTAATAACCATGGTCAAACAATTGTCCTAGCATGCGCATTTTTGAGCAAGGAAACGACTGAGTCGTTTATTTGGATGTTTGAGGAGTTTAAGAAAGCCATGCCAGGTGGCGAACCTAAAACGATCATCACAGATCAAGATGCGGCAATGAGCAGAGCGATTTCAATAGCCTTCCCGACTACATTTCATCGACTTTGCATATGGCACATCACATCAAAGTTCTCTGGTAAGTTACCACATTCTGCTTATAAGGAGTATTGGGGTGAATTCCAGAAAGCCATATGGGATACTGACAATAAGGATGAGTTTGATGCAAAATGGAATATTGTGGTTACAAAGGCTGGTTTGACTGACCATCCATGGCTAAGTTCAATGTTTGATTTAAGGGAATCTTGGGTTCCAGCCTACGCACGACACTTTTTTGCCGCTGGAATGTCAAGCAGCCAAAGAGCTGAATGTTCTCATGGTTTCTTCAAGCAATACATAT